TGTCTCTACAAAATAAATACTAAAAAATGAGCCAGATGTGGTGGCGTGTGCCTGTAGTCCCAGCTACTCAGGAGGCTAAGGTGGGAGAATCATTTATGCCCAGGAGTTCAAAGCTGCAGTGAGCCATAATCATATCACTGCACTCCAGGATGAGCACCCTGTCTTGTTGTTATTATGTAAAAACAAAGGAATCCATCCAGCAAGAGGATATAATAATTCTAAATATATATGCACCCAACACTAGAGCACCAAGATTCGTAAATCAAATATTACTAGATAGAGAAAGATAGACTATAATACAATAATACTGGAGAACTTAATCCACCCTCAACATTAGACAGATTATCTAGACAGAAAATCAACAAAGAAGAATTGGATTTCAACTGGACTCTAGACCAAATTAACCTAACAGGCGTTTACAAAACATTCTATTTAGCAACTGCAGAATATATATTCTTTTCACCAGCACATAAAACATTCTTCAGGATAGACCATATAGTAGGCCACAGAACAAGACTCAACAAATTTTTTAAAAACAGAAATCATATTGGGTATCTTCTTAGACCACAATGGAATAAAACTAGAAATTAATATCAGGAGGAACATTGGAAAGTATACAAATAGGTAAATCAAACAAAATTCTCCTGAATAACCATTGGATCAACAAAGAAATTAAGATGAAAATCAGGTTCCAGTTCAAGATGGGTGACTAGAAGCAGCTAGCAGGCACCTCTCTAATGGAGAGGAGTTAAAATAGTGAGTAAATACATTTCAAGTGGATCATGTAAAAGAGCATGCTGAAATTCACCCGAGAAGCAATAGGAACCATGGAGAACAGAGGAGAATGAAGGTAGGCACTGTGCTTAGCCAGGATAGATGCGGAGCCAGGAGAGGCTTCCTAATATAGGGGAGGGGTGAGTGAGTGAGAGATTCCAGGGGTTCTATACCTTCACCATGGACCATTACAATCCAAGTCATGAATGAGTTCCCTTGACCCCCTCGGGTCTTCAGACTAACATAGGGAGCCACCTGGAGACTGAGCAGAGGTACTGCTCAAGCCCACGTGGAATTCAACAGATTTTTGATTCCCAAGCAGCCTAGAGCCAGGTACTGATGCCCTGCTAAGGAGGGAAGTCAGGCATTTCACATACTCCTAGGACAGATACCATGGCCATGGTAAGAAGGAATAGGTAGATGACAAACCACATGGCTCCCACCTCTGCTGCACTCTGCCAAACAGGGCTTGCCTGCTTTTGGGGCAGAACCCCAACAAACCAATCCTGCCCCACCTTAATATTGCAGGCACAGTTCAACTCCCAAAGGCCACCAGCTCCCAGAAGCCACCGATAGGCCCTCTGTAGCCTCTACAACTGTTGCCTTCACCCCTGCCACCCATAGGCCAGGGAAGAAATGAAGAGGGAGGAAACTTTTGGGCACCTCAGTCATGATGCACAGGAGTGGGCAGACTCCATGGCTCCCCACCAGATAGGACCTGCCTGCTTCAATGAAGGTCCCCCAGCATAGCACAGCATCTCCCTGTGCACATCCCTATCCCTTCTAACAACATTCTTCAACCTAATGATGCAAGTAACATTTGTCTCCCTCGTGCAGCCTGTGGTCTTGCCCAACTCCTATGATGTGTCTGTGTATGTGCGTGTTTGTCGACTGTGGTCTTTGTGGCTACTTGTTCATGGATGATATTATGTTAGTGAACTGTGGACTCACTTTTCCAGGCAGAAGCTGAGCCATGTAACCATTGATCCCTCCCTGCCACCATGACCCTCCATCACCTCCTGCTTCTAGGAGTCCACTTATTCCCTGAGAGACAAACCCCTTTTCTTGATTTAGGGATGGGTTTGGGTAGGAGCATGGGCAGTAATCTCCAATTATCCTAGGACCTGGGGAGGTTTGCATAACCATCATTATAATTCTTCATGGACTCTCTTCGCTCCTTTACAAGAAACTCGCTTCCTTATGAGGGACTGTGTTAAAAAACTTCTCTTCCTGAGTCCACTAGGGGCATGGTTTCAAAGGCAGGAATTTCCTGGCTCCACGCCTCCATCCAGAGACTAGAGGGGTTTCAAATGTAAAGTTCTTTGTCTGGGTTTCCCGTGCACGGGCAAGGTAGGGAAAGCCAGGTGGGGCTCCTTTGTCCCAGAATCCTGCCAAAAGTGGGGATCCTTTGTTCCAAAATCTCACCAAAAGCTCTGGGAGGAGGAGGCTCTGTAACTCAGGGCTGTGGACCAAGTAGCCAATCCGGTATCAGAGTCAAAGATCAATCACTCCAGAGGAAGTTTGAAAGAACTCCTCTCATTGGATGAGAACATGAATGGTGAGGGAATAACTCAAGGGTTAAGACTTCAGCTGCTCCTTACCTGAAAGAATTTCCCACTCCGGGCTCCCCTCTCAAAAGAGCATGGGAGCTGCCCCTGTCTCTCTCTCTCTCTCTCTCCCACAGAACTCTTTGGGTCCATGATATTTATTCGAACAGCAAATTCACCCTACCTCTGGGGCCCTTTTCCCCATTCTTCGGGGGTGAGAGAGGCCAGGAACCTCTTCAGAACTGGGAGCTGGGTACGGTATGCTCCCCCGTTACATCTATGGCGAGCCAGCCAGGAGACATTGAACTTCATAGTGTTGAGTGATATTGGACCCCTTTTGCTTGCTAATCTGTCCTTTCCCTTCTTTTAAATGTGTTAAGGAGGTAAAAACACCAGGTGCCTCTCAGCCATCAAAGTACTAGCATAGCCACCAGACTAAAGACATGGATGTTAGACTTTCTGGAAATGAACTCTCTAACTAACCCCAGCTCTTTGGAACTGGGAGCATTGGTCAGCCCTGAACCAGTTTCCCTTTCTTACTGTTCTTTCTTTCTCTGGGCCAAGCCAAGGGTCAGCAGGAGGAAAGAGCAGCAGTCCCAAACTCCCAGTTTAGTCCAGTTGAGGTTGTGGCCCTGTTTGGACCTCCTAAGAAAAAGCCACCTGTGCGAGCCACACCTAGCCTTTCAGACCCCAACCTCCTTGGTCCAGGAGGAGACAAACTTCTTCCCGGCTCTTTCCTCTAAGATATTTCCTACACATGAGGCTATTACCCTTCTTGCTAGGACTTTGAGGCTCTTAGGGTGGCAGTCCAGGGACCCTTGCCCATGGTTCCCATAGGCTTATGCCTATGAGGACCTCTTAGAGTATAAATACACAGAGCTATAAATACACAGAGCTAGTTCCCTTAGTCCGCTGTGCTAGGTTATGTCCTATCAGAGCCAGAATCTATCAGTGGGTACTGGAGGCTACAGGACATTTAGTTTTTCATCACCTGCAATTTCCCAATTCAACTGAACGGGGCCAGAATCTGATAATGTACAACTTGTCTGCCTAGGATTGGCTCTCCATACAGCAGAATTTCTCCATCTAGAATACCATAGTGAGACCTGGTCCAGGGCTCAAATATTAATTACAGGCCCCATAACCCTAGGGCATATTCCTATGATGGAAAGTGGAGAAGGCCTGAGTCCCAAGGGCAGGCCTTCTGGCCTCAGTCTTGTGGCCTACCATTTCCTTCTTTAAGATTGTAGTGCTTAGAGGCCCTTCTCAAGGAGTTTATCTTCCTCAGGCAGTTTTATGGTCAGGCCTATGTTAATTGAACTCTAGCTATGGAATATTGGCACCCATTGCCCAAGACTCACTGGCCTAGTTATTCAAGGATATGCTGGTACAGGGCCACTAAGCCTGGCAGTCCCCATGTCCTTATGGTGGCCAAAGAGGACATTAGACAGTGAGAGTGTGCCCATGATGCCAGTAAGAGTGATTAAACCTGGCAAATGGTGGGGGGAAGCAGAAGATGTTCATGCATCTAGGGCACAAGGAAACCACAAGGTGCTATAACTGGGGGATGCCCCAGGGCTAGCAGTCAAGGAATAACCAGGGATGTGGGCATCCCTGTGTTCAATTTCAGATGGGTGCTGCTCTTCCCAAGGCAAAACCACCCTTGAAGCGTATCCTGGATAACTGGGACCAATTTAACCTACAATCTTTGAAGAAGAGGCTCTTTTTTTCTGCCAAACAGGGTGGCCATGTTACCCTCTGCTGAGTGGAGAAACCTGGCCTCCTAAGGGAATTATAAATTATAACACTCAACTACAATTAGACCCTTTTCTGTAAGAGGGAAGGTAAATGGATCAAGGTCCCTTATGTGCAAGTTTTATTTTCTCTAAGGGATAATCCTCAGCTATGTAAGGCTTGTAATCTATGCCCTACTGGCCACTCCTCAGGACTACCCCTATATTCAGGACTTCCTGTGGCTCCTCCCTCCACCCATGCTGATCAGGTCACCTCAGCTCCCATAACCCAAGAGGAGTCAGGTAATGCCAAAACAGCCAAGGCACCTCAGGCTACTAGGATTCCCCAAATCTGCCCCCTACAGGCAAAAGGAGGATAATTTGGCCCAATCAAAGTACATACGCCCTTTTCAGTTTCTGACTTAAAGCAAATCAAGGCAGACTTAGGAAAATTTTCAGATGACCTGGACAAGTACATAGATGTTCTGCAGGGACTGGGTCAGGCCTTTGAATTAGATTGGAAATATATCATGATATTGCTTAGTCAGACCCTAACCAGCAATGAGAGAGAGGCTGCTCTAGCAGTGGCTGAAGAGTTTGGGTACACCTGTTACCTTAGTCAACTACACAACCAAATGACATCAGAGGAGAAGGATAGATTCCCTACAGGTAGACAGGCAGTCCAGAGCATGGATCCTCCCTGGGATCCTCACTCAAAACATGGGGACTGGAGTCATGGGCACCTATTGACCTGCATGCTTGAGGGATTAAGGCAAACTAGTAAAAAGCCCATGAACTATGGAATGTAATCCACCATACTCAGAGAAAGGAAGAAAGCCCAACAGGCTTCCTTGAGCAGTTACAGAAGGCCTTAAGAAAGTACATTCCTGAGAGTTCCACATGGCATCAGCCCTTCTGCCACAGTTGCCATTGGAGAGCAGCAGCCATGGCTCTTCACTGTCCTATGGCCATGGGCCTCAACAAGGACCACAAGGTAACTAATAACGTGAGCAAGTCCAGGCGCAGCCACCACCGCTGGGGTCTGACCAAACACACCAAGTTCATGTGGGACATAATCCGGGAGGTGTGTGGCTTTGCCCCATATGAGCGGCAAGTCATGGAGTTACTGAAGGTGTCTAAGGAAAAATGGGCCCTCAAGTTCATCAAGGAAAGGGTGGGGACACACATCCATGCCAAGAGGAAGCGGGAGGAACTGAGTGACATCCTGGTCGCCATGAGGAAAGCCACCCAAGAAAGGCTGAGCCCCCTCCCCTGCCCTCTCCCTGAGATAAACAGCTCGCACCCACCGTCCGAAAAAAAGAAAGTATACTCCCCTGTCACCAGACTCCATCAAGGGTCAGCTAATACTAAAAGACAAATTTATTATACAATCAGCAGCAGACATTAGGAAGAAGCTCCAGAATTTTGCCCTGGGGCCAGAACAGAGTCTAGAATCATTACTAAATCTAGCTACCTCAGTGTTTATAATGAAGACCAGGAGGAACAGGCTGAAAGGGACATGAGGGACAAGAAAAAGGCGGCAGCCCTAGTCACGACCTTCAGGCAAGCAGAACAAAGGGGCTTGGAAAAGGGAAAGGATTGGGATAGCCACCAGTCTGGCAGATCTTGCTATCACTGCAACCTACTGGTACACTTTAAGAAAGATTGTCCCCAGAGGAACAGACCACCTCCTCATCCTAGCCCACTGTGCCAAGGGGATCACTGGAAGGCAAACTGTCACAGGGGATGAAGGTTTCCAGGGCCTGAGGTGGCTAAACAGATGGCCCAACATCAGAGCTGAGGGTGCCCGGGACAAGCACCACCACAAGCCATCACCCTCACCAAGCCCCAGGTAAATCTAACCATAGGGGGCCAGGAGATCAATCTCCTGGACACTGGCACAGACTTCTCAGTTTTGCTTTCCTGTCCTGGACAGTTGTCCTCCAAGTCTGTAACTGTCCGAGGAGTCCTAGGACAAGCAGTCTCCCAATATTTTGCCCAGCCCCTAAGCTGTAACTGGGGAAATATGCTCTTATCCCATGCCTTCCTCATCATGCCAGAAAGTCCCACTCCCTTACTAGAGCTGCATTAGCCAGAGCAGGAACCATTATCTATATGAACGTTGTCAGGGAGGAAATCCCTCTCTGCTGCCTGGGATTTAAAGAAGGGATTAATTCTGATGTTTGGGCAATGGAGGGACAATTTGGGTGGGCGAAGAATGCCTGCCAAATTCAAATAAGGCTAAAGGATCCTATCTCTTTTCCTTATCAAAGACAGTACCCCATAAGACCAGAAGCCAAAAAGGGGTTTTTCCTTACAGGATATTGTAAGGAACTTAAAAGCTCAGGGTATAGTAAGGACCTGTAACAGCCATTGTAATACTCCAATTTTAGAAGTACAAAAGCCTAATGGACAACGGAGGCTAGTGCAATATCTCAGGCTTATTAACAAAGCTGTGATCCCTTTATACCTAGCCCTACACAACCCATACACCTTGCTCTCTCAAATACCAGGAGAGGCACAACGTCTTACAGTCCTGGATCTTAAGGATGCCTTTTTCTGTGTTCCATTACATCCTGACTCCCAGTTTCTGTCCACCTTTGAAGACCCTGTAGACCAGAATTTTCAGCTCACCTGGACAGTGTTACCTCACTGCTTTCCAGATAACCCCCACCTGTTTGGCCAGGCTCTAGCTCAGGACCTTAGTCATTTCTCACATCCAGGTACCCTGGTTTTTCAATATATGGATGACTTACTTTTAACGCTAACTCAGAAATCCAGTGTCAGCAGACCACCCAGGACCTCCTAAACTTTCTAGCCACCTGTGGATATAAGGTTTCCAAATCAAAAGCCCAACTTTGTAAGCAAGAGGTAAAATACCTAGGGCTTGTCTTGTCTAACAGCACTCGGGCCCTTGATGGAGAATGTCTCCAACCCATACTGGCCTTCCCCCATCCAAAAACCTTAAAACAGTTGTGGAGATTCTTAGGAATAATTGGGTTTTGCCAATTATGGATTCCCAGATATGGTGAAATAGCAAAATGTCTGTACGCTCTGATTAAGGAAACCCAAAAATCTAACACCCATTTAGTACTCTGGGACCCTATAGCTGAGGCAGCCGTTCAGACCCTGAAGCAGGCACTACTGCAGGCTCCAGCTCTAAGCTGTCCTACAGGAAATGACTTCTCCCTATATGTTACGGAAAAGTCAGGGGTGGCACTGGGGGTTCTCACCCAGACTTGGGGAACCACGCCACAACCGGTGGCATATGTAAGTAAGGAAATTGATGCAGTAGCAAAAGGCTGGCCACACTGCTTGCGAGTTGTAGCTGCGGTGGCTATATTGGTCTCAGAAGCTGTTAAAAAAGTACAAGGGAAAGATCTAACTGTATGGACTTCACATGATGTAGCTGGGATTCTGGCCTCTAAAGGAGGCTTATAGCTGTCCAACAACCACTTACTCAAATATCAGGCCTTAATGCTCAAAGGGCCTGTACTTCAGCTGCGCACATGTGCAGCCCTCAATCCAGCCACTTTTCTTCCTGAGGAAGGGGCAAGAACATGACTGTCAGCAGGTTATACCCCAGAACTATGCGGCTTGAGAGGATCTCTTAGAAACTCCTCTAGCCAATCCTGACCTTAACCTATACACTGACGGAAGTTCCTTTATGAAAAGTCAAGGTCAAAAGGCAGGATATGCAGCAGTCAGTGATCAAACAGTGCTTGAAAGTAATTCCCTTCCTCCTGGGACTAGTGCCCAATTGGTAGAACTAGTAGCCTTCACCTGAGCTCTAAAATTAGGAAAAGGAAAGAGAATAAATATATACACTGATTCCAAATATGCCTACCTGGTTCTCCACACTCATGCAGACATGTGGAAGGAAAGAGAGTTCCTAACCTCGGCAGGAACTCCCATTAAGTATCATAAGGAAATTTTAGACTTATTACAAGCTGTCCAAGAACCCAAAGAGGTAGCAGTCTTACACTGCCGAGGTCACCAGAAAGGAGATGAGAAGGAAGCAGAGGGCAATCACTGAGCTAACCTAGAGGCAAAAAGGGCAGCTAGACAAGAATTTATAGAAGGATCTTTAATACGGGAAAACCCTCTCCAGGGAACTAGACCTCAATACTCATCAGAAGAGGTAGAGTGGGCAACCTCCCAGGGACATAATCTTCTTCCTTCAGGATAGCTAGCTACCGAAGAGGGAAAAGTACTCTTACCTGCTGTCAAGTGAAAAATACTTAAAACCTTACATCAAACCTTCCATATGGTAGAGAGAATACATATCAAATGGCCAAATCTATATTTACAGAAAAAGTTCTCTTCAAGGCTGTCCATCAAATAGTCAAAGGATGTAAAATATGCCAGAAAAATAATCCTTTAACACATTGCAAATTTCCTCCTGGGAAAGAGTGAACTGGTCATTACCCAGGTGAGGGCTGGTAAATGGACTTTACTCATATGCCTAAGTCTCAGGGATATCAATATCTGTTAGTTAGAAAATCTGTTAGTTAGATATCAATATCTGTTAGAAAAAGCCCAAGAGGTAATAAAAGTCCTGATTAATGAAATAATTCTAGATTTGGACTCCCTTGCTCTCTTCAAAGCAATAATGGCCCTGCCTTCAAAGCTTCAGTGACCTAGGGAATTTCCAAAGTGTTAGGAATACAGTATCATCTCCACTGTGCTTGGAAGGCTCAGTCCTTAGGGAAAGTGGAAAAAATGAACAAAATTTTTAAAAGACACTTAAAAAATCAGGCACAGGAAACCCACCTCCCGTGGCCTTCTCTAGTATCAATAGCTCTCCTCTTCTCCCTCTGATATTATCACTCCAATGCTTACTTATGCCAAAACTGTGTTGCCTTACCCCCAGGCCTCAACTGCCTAGCACCAGGCTTATTCTTTGCTTGTGGCACTCAGCTTACTGCTGCCTGAACAGTACCTCTGGGGAAATATGCCTCCTCTCCTTCCTAGTGCCCCCCCATGACAATTTATACCGACTCTTAGATGCACTTGCCAAGGCCACACTATACTCGAACCCCAATTATTTCTTTCATAGTGGGGACCAGAATAATAGGAAGACTTGGTACTGGCACTGGAGGAATTACTACCTCTACTCAATTTTACTATAAGCTACCTCAGGAGTTAAATGATGACATGGAAAAGGTTGCTGATTCTCTCTAACTCTGTAGAAGCAGCTTAACTCTTAAGCTGCTGTGGGTCTTCAAAATAGAAGGGCTCTGGATCTGCTAACAGCAGAGAGAGAAGGAACTTGTCTCCTTTTAGGAGAAAAATGCTGCTACTTTGTAAACCAGTTGGGTATTGTCTTAAAGCTAAAAGAACTCAGGTGTCAATCTAACACAACGCTAAAGACCTTCAAGAAACAGGATAGCAGCCGGGCGCGGTGGCTCAAGCCTGTAATCCCAGCACTTTGGGAGGCCGAGGCGGGTGGATCATGAGGTCAAGAGATCGAGACCATCCTGGTCAACATGGTGAAACCCCGTCTCTACTAAAAATACAAAAAATTAGCTGGGCATGGTGGTGTGTGCCTGTAATCCCAGCTACTCAGGAGGCTGAGGCAGGAGAATTGCCTGAACCCAGGAGGCGGAGGTTGCGGTGAGCCGAGATCGCGCCATTGCACTCCAGCCTGGGTAACAAGAGCGAAACTCCGTCTAAAAAAAAAAAAAAAGAAACAGGATAGCAGAGTTTGTTTAATAACTAGCTGTCCTAGCTCTACCCTCTTCTAGGCTCATTTACAACCATTCTGTTATTTCTGACTTCGGGTCTTTCATCTTTAACCTTCTTGTCATATTCGTTTCTTCTAGAATTCAGGCCATGAGGCTACAAATGGTCCTGCAAGTGGAACTTTGGATGTCCTTGGCTCATGAGTTCTATCATGGACCTCTGGATTGACCTGCACCCCTGGAAGACTCCCCTCTGGAGGAAACTTCAACTGCAGGGCCCCTTCTACATTGTAATTCAGTTGAAAGTAGTTAAAGAACGATCAACGCCTGTGTCCCAACAGCAGTTGGACTTTCCTGTTCAGAGCTGGGACTTAGGGACTATGTTAAAGAAACTTCTCTTCCTGGGTCCGTGAGGGGCGTGGTTTCAAAGGCAAGAATTTCCTGGCTCCATGTCTCCATCCAGAGACCAGAGGGGTTTCAAATGTAAAGTTCTTTGTCTGGGTTTCCCATACATGGGCCCGGTAGGGAAAGACAGGTGGGGCTCCTTTGTCCCAAAATCCCACCAAAAGCTCTGAGAGGAGGGGACTCTGTAACTCAGGGCTGTGGACCAAGTAGCCAATCTGGTATCAGAGTCAAAGATCAATCACTCCAGAGGAAGTTTGAAAGAACTCATCTCATTGGATGAGAACATGAATGGTGAGGGGAACAACTCAAGGGTTAAAACTTCAGCTGCTCCTTACTGGAATGGATTTCCCACTCCTGGCCTCCCTCCCGCAACAGTGTTGGAGCTGTCTCTCTCTCTCTCTCTCTTTCTCTCTCTCTCTGTCTGTCTAATGAGTCACTCTTCAGCAAAACTCTTTGGGTTCATGATATTTATTTGAAAGGCAAACTCACCATGCCTCCGGGGCCCCTTTCCCCATTCTTCGGGGTTAGAGAGGCCAAGAACTTCTTCAGAACTGGGAGCTGGGTACGCTCCCCCCGGTTACACTTATTTCACCCTCACATGAGTCTATTCTGAAGGTCTGTTAGTATTAATAATTGGAGATTCAAACCAAGAAGCTGGTGAGCCCAGCCATTGCCTTTAGACAAGCTACTCCCTTCCATGATCATTTTTTTCTGGGAGGCTTCCACTGAGGAGTCCGCATCAACCCTGCCCTTCTGCAGAGTTCCTAGTGATTTTAGGCTCAGGGCTTCTACTCTGTCCCTCGGGAATGTGCCCCTTGCATATCTTCTAAGCAATAAACCCGTGGGGTCTGAGACTGTACCCCCCCAACCTTCCCTGCTTCTGAGATTTTAATCTACAGGCCAGCTCATCAGGATGCAGATTCCTGTCCCTGAAGTTGGGTATCTGGCAGGTGATGGCTGAAAGACCCCCATTCTATTGGGGCCAACACATTGCGATAGGCAGAGTGAGAATAGGGGTCCTTTGATTCTCTGCCCACGTTCCCTTGGTCAGGCAACAGAGACAAATCCTGCATCCTTTGCTCTGCCTGTCAGTATTCAGAGTTGTGAGTGAGGAAGGTTAGAGACCTGGAAGACTCTGTATAGTCCTGCTGCAGAGGAAACAGCAAGAGGTCAGAGGTCACATGAAGAACAGTAACTCTAACCTAGTTTCTGCCCCCACTGTCCTCCACGTTCTTGTGGAAACCAAACAAATTGCTGCTATGACCATACTGCTATTCTCTCTATTGTGATCTAGCTCCTCAACAACAGAAAAAAGACATAAAATATTGTTTCCAAAAGAAAGTACAACCTGCAACCACAATGCACAGGAGCAGGCAGACTATACACAGGGTGAACCCATGCTTCTATGGCTCCATTCATGTTTCAGTAACAGGCCCCCCATGCACCTGCCCCACCCTTGCCTGAATGCTGTGGTCGTGAGTGGACTCCCAGAAGCTGTCTACTCCCAGAGGCCACAGATGGGCCCTCCACACCCTCTGCCACTGCTGCCTCTGCAGGCCAGGACAGCAGGCACCTTCATAGGCCCCAACAGTGAAATCCAGAACTGATTCTGTGGAGGAAAGTGCTAGCAGGTCACATGCTCCACAGCTGCCAGTTTTTATTGCCTCAGAAGAGGGGGCCTGCCCTCCCCAGTGGAAGTCTGACAGTACAGCCACCCTGCTCCTGCCAGACCATTTCAACTGCAACCCAGTCCCCATAGGCCTGTCATCTCCCTGCCCCTTTCTGAGAGTTCTGCCAGTGACCTAGGCACCAGACTGCCATTCTCAATCACAGCCAGCACCTGAAATCTGGGCTGACTGACAGGTCTGGTCCAACCCCTTTCAGACACATACATGCCATTCAGTGGGCAATATAGGGGCCTGAGAATAGGGGAATCATCTAGTCTAGTCCACCACTGCTGGCACCTGACCACCCCACCCCCAGGATCAGAGGCTGGACCAGCCCAACCAGCCAACATCACCACAACTGACACCCACATACACAGGCCAAATGTCAGAGCCCCTCCAACTTTCTACATGAAGTAACAGAGTTACTCCATCAGAGAACAGGCAAGCCATAAAGCTGTCTATATTGAGCTGAGTGAAGAGATTCCATCCCCAAACCACTCCAGCAGAGAACTGTGGGTCAGGCAATTTCCATGGCTCTCAGCTACACTGTGGCCTGGAGATAGAAAAGTGTGCATCTGAAAGGAGAGTCATTAGCACTAGGACAGGGTATAAAGGGGAAACAGATCACATTCCTGCATATCTACGATGTGAAGTCAGTGCAGCTAGCTTACCCCCTGCAGAGACCTTGGTGCATCTCACCAGGAGCTCCCCCAGCCACACGAGTCAGGACTTATGCCTTCACTTGTCATTGGGGTATTTATGGGCAAGGCAGAGCTGGTGCATTCAGGGCTTGTTGTTGGGATATTTATGGGCAAGCCAGGGGTGAGTGCATACACGGCTGCTTGTGCCCCAGCTGGCTCTTGTCTGTTAGTGCCACCTACTGGCCTGCAGGTCTAACTGCACAGCCCAATGTAAAACCTACTAACAAGAGTGCACAACCAAAGCCAAAGATCTTACCCAACATACACTACAGTCACACTCTCTAGAGGAAATATATGTATATATATATGAAAGAAAATCCCACCTGAATGAAAATCAATTTAAAAAGAAGTGGCAGTCTCTTCAGATGAGAAAGAACCAGCATAAAAATTCTGTCACCATAAAAAATCTAAATGTTATAATGCCACTAAAAGATCACACTAGCTTTCTAGAAACAGTCACTAACTAAAGTGGAAACTCAAAAATGATAGATAAAGAACGCAAAGCATGGTTCGCAATGAAGTTCAATGAGATCCAAGAGAAGGTTGAAAATCATCACAAAGAAACCATGAAAGCAATACAGAAAATGAAGGAAGATATGAACATCCTTTACAAAAACAGAACTTCTAAAAATGAAAAATTCATTTAAGGAATTTCAAAATGCAATTACAAGCTTTAACAATAGACTAGGCCAATCAGAAGAAAGAATTTTAGAACCCAAAGATAGGCCTTTTTTTTTTTTCTTTTAATTTTGTAGGGATGGGTTTCTATTATGTTGCCCAGGCTAGTCATAAACTCCTGGACCCAAGAGATTCTCCTGCCTTAGCCTTCCAAAGTGCTGGGAGTACAGGCATGAACCACCACACCTGGCAAAACATAGGTCTTTCAAATTAACCCAGTCAGACAAAAATAAATAAAGAAAAAGTAATTTTATAAAATAAGCAAAGTCTTTGAGAAATATGGAATTGAGTATAACTCAAGAAAGCTTTCTTCAATTCTCTACGGAGGTAGACAGCCAATAAAAGAAATTCAGAGGATATCTATGAAATACTATACAAGGGGAAACATTAGCAAGGCATATAGTTATCTGACTATCCAAGGCCAACACTAAAGAAAAAATCTTAAAGGCAGCTAGAGAAGAGTCAAGTCACCTTAAAGGAAAACCCATCATACAAACAGCAGATTTCTCACTTGAACCCATACAAGCCAGAAAACACCATGGGCCTATTTTTACTCTCTTTAAGGAATAAAAACCAACCAAAACTTTTATATTCTTCTAAACTAAGCATCACAAATGAAGGAAAAAGCAAGTCTTTCCCAGAAAAGCAAACATTAAAGGAATGTGTCACCTCTAGACTGGGCCTACAAGAAGTGTTCAAAGGAGTTATAAACATGGAAATGAATGATACCATCATAAAAGGACACATAACCACAAAGCTCACAGATCCCATAAAACAATTGAAAAATTGAAACTCAAAAACAACAAGCTAACAACACCATGACAAAAACAAAACCTCATATATCAATACTAACCTTAAATATAAAGGGTTGAACGCTCCACTTAAAATATACAGAGTAGGCCAGGCATGGTGGTTCACACCTGTAATCCCAGCACTTTGGGAGGCTGGGATGGGCAGATCACAGGATCAGGAGTTTGAGAATATCCTGACCAACATGGCGAAATCTCGTCTTTACTAAAAATACAAAAATTAGCTGGCCATAGTGGTGCACACCTGTAATCTCAGCTACTCAGGAGGCTGAGACAAGAGACTCACTTGAATTTGGGAGGTGGAGATTTCAGTGAGCTGAGATCTCACCACTGCACTCCAGCCTTGGTGACAGAGTGAGACTTGGTCTCAAAAAAATGTATACACACACACACACAGACACACACACACACACACACACACACACACACACACACACAGAGTGGGTAAATTGGATAAAACAAGACCCAACTGCTGTCTTCTGCCTTCAAGAGACCCACCACTTACTGGCCAAAGATACCTTCAGACTCAAAACAAAAATATGGAAAAAGATATATCACACAGAGGCAAAGCAAAAGCAACCAGGAAAAGCCATTCTTGTACCAGTTAAAAGAGACTTTAAAACAACAGTAGGAGAGGAAGAGGAAGATGGCTGACTAGGAACAGCTCAGGATTGCAGCTCCCAGTGAAAGTGTAGAGGGTGAGTGGACGCCACATTTCCAGATGGATTTTTATTGCCCACAGACCAGGAGATTCCCAGGTGGAGGAGCCCCACGGGTCGCCAGCGTGGCTGTTTCGGCCCGCGCGGCTGCTTTGCCCGTGCCCTGGTGTGGCGGCTCTCAGTACAAAAGACACTGGTCCGGGTGCCCTCTTAGCTGATGATTAGAGCCCTGAGACGGCAGAGTCGCCCATTCATCTGAAATAGCGAGCCAGGCCAGGTGATTCCTAGGCAAAAAAACTGCCAGGAATCTCAGCACTGCCGTTTCAGCCAGCTCAGTGAGTCGTGGCACGGGAGATCCTGGTGCCTTTTCAACAGGCGACTGGAACACGGGGAGAGATCGACCGTTCAACAACAACAACAACAAAAGACTCTGAGTCAGGGAGCCAGGTGATCAGGTTAGGCTGGTCCCACCCCCCCCACACACACACACAAAAACAGTAATTGAAAACTCTCTAGGTTGAGAGTTTCACAGCAAGCACAGCTAAAGCCAGGACGGCCTGGCTCTGAGGGGGAGGGGCGTCCGCCATTACTGAGACACTCCACCACTACGGAGGCAGTCTGACCATCACTGAGGCAGCCCGCCATTGCTGAGGCAACCCACCATTGCCTAGGCAACCTGCCATTACAGAGAGAGTCCGCCATAACAGAGGTGGGCCACCATTGCCAAGGCAGTTCTAACTACACCCATATAAACAGGACTGCAGAGAAGATCACATGGCAGCTGGGCGGGACCCATAGCAGCTCAGCAAAGCCTCTGCAGGCAGACAGTGACTAGGCTGCCTCCTCGCTGGGCAGGGCAGCCCTGAAAGAAAAAAAAAAGCCAGCAGCACAACGGAA